TCTAGTTCATCACCAATTATGTGATCACTGCAGACGTCTCTAGTTAATCAAAGAGATCCGGCTAGGAAAATTGATGAAATGACCACCTCATGTAAACTTTCTGTAAATCAAACTATTTTGGCAGCAGTATTCAATAATTTTAAGCTGTCAGATTTCATCAGGAACCAACATTACTTCGAGAGTTCATTTAAAACCAGTAAACAGTGGACAGCTGTTTCATCCTTATCTGGGACTCTAAGGCAACAAACGCACCAGAGTTTGAACCTAGAGCCTTCAGGTTACGACTCAGTGAATACCGAATCAAGTGGCTGAATGGTCAACGGGTTTCATTTAGTAACCTATAGGGCCCAGGTTCGACCCTTATTTGGGTTTTTGGTGCGCATTACTCTAGAGTTTCAAAATAGGACAAAACAGCTGGTCACCGTTAGCTGGTTTTTAATGATCGCTCTAAATGATGTTTGTTTGTGACAAAAATCCAACAGCTGGAATTAAAATTAATGTAAATCCCCACAAATTTCATAATCTGAATATAAATTAAATTAATGGTCTACAACGCTGGCTGTGAAACACTCTGAAGTCTTCTGTTAACATTGTAACGTATGGACATAATCATTAACATTATGATAGATGCATAAGTTCTAGCAATCCTGCGGCCAATAAATTCTAAACTATCTCAAAAACCCATTAGTTGTACTACAGGATTAAGTGCTAACTCAGTAACAGTTTTATTTTAGTTACAAAAAGTCATAACTTGCTGTCATGAATCTTACAGCTCAAACAATAAAGTAATAGGTTTGGAATTTTCTGTGTTGTTTATTTATTTCATTTCTCTGCATTCTGAGTGGAACATAGGGTTTCAAGCTTTGAGTTTTGAAGTTTTAGTAGTAATTATGTTTTCCTTTTTTATACTGGGTGGGGTTGCTAGGCTCAAGCCATATCTACCTTTCTAACCAGGCTTACTACCAGCCAAGTGACATTTAGGAATCCGTCTGCCGGGGATCAAATCCCAGATCACTTGAGACATCTACCGCTGAACCACCGACACACAAATGTCATCAGGGTGGGAGGCATGCATGTAACCTACGGACCTCTCTATACCTTGAAATCAATCATCACGTGGCACGTTCTCCCATTAAACTTGGCATATCTGACAATAAAAAGCTACGAGAATGCTGTCAGGGTATACGCTAGTCCAAGTGTCCCAAAACCTTAGACCACCGAATGTCTGCTTCTTCCTAGGTTAGGACTCTTCATCAGTACGTACCCACCGGGATTCGAACCCGGAACTTCCCAGTTATCTAGAATATATTTTATTGTTTCAGTCTCCAAACTAAGATTACCATAAATAGTTTCTTGGAAAAATATGAAAGTCTCCTTCCCACCCCGTCTTCCTCTTTCTTCATTTTACATTTTTAAGGTATGCTGTACTGAGAAACTTTATTATTATATGTTTACAACTATTCAGCCAAAAAACCCAGTGCAAGTTTTATTGACAACCACGATGATACATTACTATTATTATTATTAATATAGATCATACAAGTGATTAAGGTTGGCGCGTACCTCCACTTTACACGAACCCATTTTCAATTACTACTTCTTTAGTTAATTATGTAATATAAATCGATTTCTCAGTAATCAGTGCCTAACTATCATTAAAATGAAAGTAATTAATCTACCGCCTATATATGTATATAATTAGTCGCTGTGATCTAATCTACGATAATTTTTGATGATTTTTGAAACTTTTTTTATAAAGAACTCATATATATTATGTACAGACATACAAACGATAACATGGAGCTCAGCATTTTTTCTTTGAAAATATATACAAATAAGATAAAAATTTATGAATGCATATTTTTTGCAATTTCAAGTTGTCATGACAAAAGTTTGGTTATCTTAAAAACAATAACTGCAATAATAATAATAATTCAAAATAATAATAATAATTATTATTATGACAACTATAAATGTAAACTATAGAAAGACTAGATGGTTCACTGAATAATAATGATAATAATGAGCACAGGCTAAATAAAAAGGCTACAACCAAGCCTCCAACACATAAGAAGTTAACAGTTTTTTGATCAATACACTGATTATTATTATTATTACTGCATGATGATTAACCACGTGTGTGTGTGTAGCGGTAACGACAACACACAGTCACATCATAATAACAGAACTTTTATTACTATACTCGTTATCATTATTATTGTTATTCATGATGTAAGCCTGTGTTTATAAAAAACAGTCTGTTTAGTAAAGCATGTGTGCTGTGTGTGTAATTAGGCAGATTTGAGTTTCTTTTTTTATTTATATGAGATAATCACCCATAACAATTAGCCGCTTTTTTTAAACAAAAAGGTGTTTTTAACGACACTGTTGTGGCATGTGATCAGTATAATTCAAACATACACGCACACTGACCGTATGCAATGAATGAATTAACTGAAAACGAATTTGTACTTATGACATTTTAGAAAAAAGAATGATTACTGAAAGAAAAATTCGGTTGAAAGTTTAATGTCTGGTTGTTGTATGCTTACCAGGTTATCCACCTAGTAATACACATAAGTGTTAAGTTAAAGTGATATAATGTTACCTTTACTGAACGCAATTAAAGTATTATGATGTAGTCAATGCTGTGGAAGATAAGTTATAAACTAAAACTTTTCTTGCAGCCCTGTTTTCATTCATTACCTTCATATGGAACATATGGCTTCAACTCTTGAAGTTTTAGTAGCAATGAAAAATATTTTTATGAGGGGGAGTTACTAGTCTCATGCCCAACGTTTCCTCTTATATCCTGGTGAACTAGGTCGTTTAGGAGTACGACAGCTGGTAATCGAACATGGACCTCCTGTATGACTGGTGAGCATTCTACTACCGAACTACCGACGCAAACCTTCAATCTTTTAACTAATCGAAGTTCAATTGTGCGTTGCTATTACACTAATATGATGATATTTTCAAAGTGTATGTTACCCGTAATCATTTTCAGTTGCATTCATCAATTTGATTCACTGCAAGCAGTTATGTCTATCAGCCAAGTAATGCAACGTAACTTATTTTACGTTCTAGTAGCATTTGGTGTTGAATGAACTCCATCGGAAAACTTGCAGAAGTTCGGGTAATAATTAAGCCTACCAATAATCTTATTGTTCCATTTTATATTTTTCAAAGCTGGAAGGTGCCCTATGAATAATTTTTCACGTTTGAATAGACAGACTAATTTGGGAAATTATAACAGAAATGAAGGCAATGGGGACAATGAGAAGAATACGCTGGAGAAGAGACTAAATGGCTTCCAGATACTCTTCATTTACTCATCGCCCAACCACATACCAAGTTAAAAATGTACAAAAGATTTTCAAGGTTTAAGAGGCTAAGAATACTGTAATTATTCTTAAAAAGGGGAGTAATGTAGCCTGATAACTAAATCTAGAAGTATCAGACCTTACTGGTTAAACTGACTAAGATTTCCCTTAGATAGTACAAGTCAGGATCACAAATCTTATATCACGTTTGCACTTTAAATTATAAGGTTAAGTTAAGAAACTTGATATTTGGAAATACATATGATTTATAAAAATAGTAGTAAAAATCTTTATCATTCACGCGCCCTTTTTAACCTCAGAATATCACCGAATCAAAGGCTTGCTAATTTTCTCCATATATAACCTACTAAAACAGTGTTAGCAGTCTTCATTTGCCTTCCGAATGGAACAAAGGACTTGACGCTCTAAGCTATGAAGTTTCAGTTTCTTTCCCAGGCCTACTACCAGCTAGGAGAGGATTAGGAACGAGCCCATAGGGAACTTAACCTGGAACACGTGCGGGCCGGCAAGCATTCTACCCCTGAATCACAGACGCACAAGGGTTAGTATTTTTTATTTTTTTTGATTTACAGCTTGATTCCACACTATATTTTTTTGGTACAGGTATGGAATTTTCAGCATGGATATCGGTAGCCCAAATTTTGCAGGCCGGCCATAGATATCAGGTGTGCGCCGGCATGGGCTCGAATCCCGGACCATGTGCATGGTGGGCGAGAGTCCTAACCACTGTGCCACCGATGCATTAAAATGAAGTCGACAAGGCTGCATGAAATTCAGTTCTTAGTACAGATTTGTTGATGTATTGACAAATACTGGTAATCTGCACCATCCCCATTTAGGTAAATTTCTATGTTTACTTGACCCTTACTTAAACAGAGCTTGATGCGCTTAGCTTGACGTAATTTTAGTGAAGTTTAAAATGACGGAGGTTAACTTCCCTGGATTCAAGAAGGAAAATTTTACTGTGAAGTGTAATAAAGTTACCAGAACACTTAAATCTAGATTGACAAGTATCCGTGTAGTAAAATGTACAGGTATCAAATCTCATGTGAGCTGATCCAAGATCATGAATACAGTGTCTTCAGTAAGCCAAATTATAAAAAAGTATTGTGTACTGCAGTGTGGAGCTTTTTACCGATTGACTTTTAATATCTACGAAAATTAAATGCTTTGAATGTTTGAAACCCAGTTTTGAACTAAACCGTGAAATGAAAATACAGCAGCTCTTAGTTTTAGTCTCCAATACCTACGAGTTTATTTATCACAAGAATAATTTTAGAAAAAGTCAGTTAAGCAATAGTCTTGTTTTTGTTTCCCACATACAGTAAAGACTTATGAGATGGAAGTTAGATGACCGATGAGCTTTAGTAATTAGGATGAGTTTAAAGCGCTAAGTATTTAGTATATATGTGCATTTCAATACTTGATTAAATATGAGTAACAGTTGTTTTAGTTAAATCATTTACTTAGCTTCGCTTACAAAATTATCAAGGTTGTACAAATGGCTTTTCTCCATGTTACTGTTTATCATGAACTAATACATTTGCATGTCATAATACTTCAAGACTACAGTAGAAATACATACTTCTACTGATCTGTTATAAAATTTTAATTCAGAGTTATGATAAACATAATCAGACATATTATATGACTTACTCGGATCACAAAACAGCATAACGGTATGTTCAGGAGTTTGATTAGCGCTAGGATTCGACTGACCCGTTAATGACTGACCTACTCCACTATCCATACTACCTTGGTGTGAATGCTGATTACCAGCTTGAGGAGTAGCGGGTAGAACTGTACCAACTAATCGTGTTGTAGTTGGATTGATATTTGATCCATAGATTATACCAGAATTGGCTGATAAAATGAACTGCGGCTGTTGAACTCTTTGTGGTTTAGGTATTTGCTGTTGATCAAGTAACACTTGAGTGGAGTTGTGTGATACACTTGTAGAAGTAGCTGATGTATTGAGTCGTAAGCATTCAAGTCCTTGAACCAGTTGACCAGAAGAAGCGCTAACCGAACCGGTAGCAGAACCTTGTTGGCCAATATTAGAGTTTGGAATACTCAGACCGGTTAGTGAGGAACTAGAAGATAAAATACCACCCAGACTTCCAGGAAGTCGAAGTTGAGTTTGACCAAGAGATCCTGTGACTGTTGTTGTCGCTGTAGATACACTTGATGAATTTGCATTTCTGATAAGGCCAGTAGTGGAATTACAATCTCGACCACTAGACATGGAAACCGGTTGACTACATGAACTATAAAACAATCAGGAAATGAAAAGAAATATTGTATACAAATTTATCACGAGCAAATTTAGAGGTATTTTTAAACTTTAATGCTTTATTAGCTTTTTCGGTTGCATTTCAACAATGTATGCTTAAAAAACCCTTCTGAAGATAATAGTATTCTAGTTTATGAAATAATCAATAGGTGAGTTGAGAAAAAAGTTAACTCTGTCATATTACAGAGACTCTTTAATAATCATTACAGATAGTATTTTGATAAAAATTAACAGGTCAAATGCAGTCTTATTGCAGATGTTTGATGTATGTTTGGGCTTCTTCGTAATCCTCAATAAAGTTTATCTTCGATGTTTAGGGTACTCATATTTCAAACCGATGACCACCAGAGTCAGGGAATTCATCAGTAAACTATCCAAGATATGATATATCAAGTTACAATGCACAGTAGTACCATTTCACTTAAGATAAGGCTCACACTGTGCACCTAACTGATCTATCAACATCTAAATGGATTCAGCCAATTCAAGTATCATTCAGCATTCATATTGCCCACGAATAGACTGTTTATAAGTTAGTGATTAAAGGTACCATGTCAAATCAAAACATAATTTTACAACAAAATGAGCTACCCCTAGAATTAGTTATATATTTTCCAGCATAACTAAAAGTCATACCTATGTGGTTGCTTGTCACATATTACTGTTATCAGAACACCTATGCAATTCATAAACTCCTGTTGTTCACTGCAAACCACTCATGAAGTCCAAAATTGACATGGAGATTTGATCAATCAGTTTCATCACGAAATCAGTTCACTAAATACTGAACAACAACAGAAACTTAGAAATACATTAGTAGCTGTCCTCAGAGTGAGTAATTCAATGTAAATATATATTATTTTGACTTCGGGTGACTTAAACGTCTTTTACCAATGGATGAACACAGCACGTACATTGTTGAAAATTCCAAAAGCAAGGTGAAATACTGTCTTGAAGTACATTAAATATGTTTCTTCGCTATACAAGAGTCATTTTTTACATTAAATAAAATGTTAATTAAACAAATGGTTAATTTAACTGATGGTACACTTATATGACTGACTGACAGACTGAGTTCCAACATAAACGTTTGTACAAAAGTGTACCAGTTCAGTCTTCCACATTCTATGTAACACACGAAGGTAGACAAAAGAGACAAAAAGGATTCAAATGAATTATAGTAAGCAGGTATGTAAGGGAGAGAGAGAATAGTAACATGGAAAAATATGACAGTTTAGCGGATACGGGAGATCATAAAGAGGGAATGCATCTGCGCTACTGATTCTTAGCTACCTGAAGACCTCAACCAGGCAGCCTACATGACTGGATGAGACCAAAAGTTAAAAAAGACTTGATGGACTGATATCAGTTTTTGGTTTGACCACCCCTAAATTTTCCAATACAATTGTATGTAGGCTAACACTATTCCTCCAAGAAGGCGATGGCTTGGTATGCGCAACACGTAGTATACTAGCCATCTTAAAATGATGTAGCTTGACAATTTTCTTAGGTAACACTATACGCCTAGCCTAAATATTACTCACCAAGTATATATATATATGCTCAACAAAGACTTTATTTCATAATATGAACGCTGCTTATAAAGTCACTAGACCCGACTGTTTATGTATTTAACACAGGAAAAAATATGTTTGAAAGCGAATAAGGTCAAATAAAAATCTGAAGACAAAAAAAATAAATAAAATACACAAGGCATAGACAGTAAACAATATAAGATTAGTACACTGTACCACTTTTTGTTGTTATCGTTGTTGAAGTGTACTGCTACTCATTTTTTTATTTGACAAAGACACTAGTAGAAAAATAACAATGTATGACTGAATAAATCAACTATTGATCAGTTAGTTTTGATAATGTTGGGTATTTTAGAAGATAAGAAAACACATGAAAGGAGAAAAACATCCATCAATAGTGCTGCATACATATTATCTACGCTGTAAAAGTACAGTTATACGCAGTAATGATTTGATGTATGCACGTGAAGGATTCAAATTTTATTCACCAAAAGTCATATATTTAAAAAAAACTAACTTAGATATTTATTATAATGAATTAATATTTAGCTCACCGTCATAACAAGCAATGACATTAAAGTTAAAGAATGGATGATGACTTCTGCATCACAGCTGAAAAGTTATTAAAGTAAGATCTTTGCTTGTAATTTTCTGTTTCAAACCTGTAAAAACTCCTTATTCAGCTAAATGTGTCAATGAAGACGATGAATACTGAATTAGGAATGACAGTATAAATTGCGTAAGAGATCGAATAAACAGTTTCACAGCTAGCAGACAGATGTCTCAGCAGTTAAGTGGTGAGATCTAGCTGTCTATCAGAACTCAATCTGATCTCATTCAATAAGGGTGTTGATTGACTATAGTATATGATGATTAGTCGGTATTTCGTTGTTCTACAAGTTTTTCAGCTAAGTCTTCTTGCTGAGACTGAAACTACGCTTAGGTAGAAATGTAAAAGAACAAACCAATCAGCGAAACTGTTTGAAATCTACTTACTCTATACTCTGTAGTTAAAAAAAGCTTTATATATTTAAAAAGACATTTGAAATTACTAATATATGGGTTTATATGTTTAACAGACTGTTTTCCTTTCGGGCCTTGCTATTTCGCATATGTTGAATTTCATCATAGTTTTGCCAAAACACACAATCCTAGTCGAATTTAGCAGCTTAGGGATTAACCTATCCCCTCGGTCTAGAGTATGTGATGACTAAAACAAAATACAAAGCCGTGTCAACACAAATCTAATTCGCAATTCGCGCAGTTGGAGATAGGGTTTCGCCGCCGCTTCCTTTTGAGACAGAAATTATTCATATCAAAGTATGTGATCTACATGATACCTTGAGTGACAATCAAGAAAGCAAGTACAGTTACATAAGACTACATACTACCAATTCATTAAGATGGGTAGTTGTATGTCACTCGCATCAGGCGGTAGTGCTTATTATCCAGTTGGAAGTTATGTAAACGCCAAACAGCTGTTATGCTCGTTTGATGCCGAATCCATCACTATACACTCTGTTTAACTCGGATTGCATCATTTCAATCTTGCATTAACTGTTGGAGTGAATGGCATACAAGTACTCACCTCAGTCAGTAAGTAGCATATAATTTTGTGCAGTTTTGCTTGTCTTCAGAACATCATGGAAAAAAATTTAGAATCTTCTTCATAAGATTTGTCCTTTTCAAATGTAAGGTGATGCCTCAGGACCATTCTGCACCAAATCCTAATTTAAGGACAGATTACCGACAGCATCTCAGCACGGACATATCAGAGGCGTGAGATATAAGCTAACTTGCGTCATCTTCGGCACACGCATGACATCTGCGTCTCCATCATTGGACGTGTGTAATTTTCTCCAGCTTGTCTCATTCTTCATAACTGGTGTGGTTTGTTGACCAATGAGAATAAACGATCAAAGGCTGGCTGCCTTTGACTACAAGTGCTTACATTCTGCCTCTTCTTAATGGTTTGATATGGTGAGTAACAATAACACTGGGAGTAGTTTTAGGTAAGGAGGAAACGTTAGTCAATGAGGTTATGAAGTTGTATCGAATAAAATAGCTGTTACACGTGGTACGCATACCGAGCCAATGCCTTTCTCATCAACAAGCGATTGACTGACATGAATTCAAGCTAAAAAAAAGAGTTACAAGTGGTCAGATCAGGATATGGAACCTATATTTAGAGCGCCTGACTATTGTTTTGAAACATGTGTGTACGTGTGAGGTATCTGTCGAGGTGTCCTTAGGGTGCTGATAATTAGTCACCAAAACCCACAGCCAAATGCCTCAAAATCAATCACAGTGATATGGGGGAGTCTGGTCTTTTCCATATATGAAGTTTTGAACCCCACCATTTTCCACACTCCGACCATTACTCTCATTCATTATATTCCTTTCCTCCTTCTCAAAGTGTAGCTGCTTACTGTCCGTGTCAAACCTGTGGTTAATTTGACAGTTAATCAGTAATATATATATATATATATATATACATATATATATATATATATATATATATATATATATATATGAGGAAATAATGGACCACTAACAAACTCTGCATGGATTCAGTACGATCAGTCACTTAAGTCCAACAGTGGCAGAAGGCATAAAGTGCTGTTCATTTATATGCTTTTGGGAAGGAAGATGGGCATTTTTAACTCACCATATTTTATAGAAAATTTGAAGTCATATCGAAGTAAGCAACAAGAGTCAATTATAGTAGCCTTTTGGTAGTTTTGATTCTCGAGAGGTATATGACTATTTAGCTGGCTATTTCAGTTTTCAATACTTTCCAGATGTGATGCAAATTCTTTACCAGACTCTAATGAACATCATCATTCAGAACTCAGTTCTTCGATAGTTCATGAATGGTGAATAAATAATTATACAAATTTTAAAATGAGCAGTATCTCTCGAGATTACAGATATTCCTGAAACTTAAATAAAACGCAGACTCCAATAGACTTATTTTTGATATATAACACTGTCCAATTTATTAAGTTATTCTTATCAAAAGTCTTGCATACGCTGGTAATGTAGGTTGTGCATAAATGGACAAAGTTTAAGTCTTAGTTTCTGAAAAATGTTTGAAATTTATGATTACCAGAAAAGTACGAGGATCTGAACAGGAAATTTCCCATTCAACTCACTGATATTCTTCTACTTCGTTAGGGTTACTGGAAATCTTCAGCAGTATCATTATTACTGCCGTCATTTCTTCCTAGATTATAAGTAGAATTTTATAATTCACAATTCTAGTATAATTATCAAATAATAAACTAAATCAGCTGTATCACCCATTATTTGACTAGATTCATGAATTATTTTCTAATGGACGGATATCTAAGACAGCTGCGAGCTAATTGATGAGAAATACAGATAAACCTAGATTTTTTAGTTCCAAATGATCAGTAGGATATATTCATAAGGGATC